TGAGAAGGTTCTTTCATCCTTCCTTCCTGTCACTTAATATCCTTCCATACATTGTACCAGTCATACTTAGCTTAACCTTATAGTACAGTACTATACTTTTTTATCTATGATTTGGCATAAATTTTTGGTTGAGGTTATTTGTATGGACAAATAATATTATATTGTGTTGTGATGGCCGAGAATTGAATGATTCTTGAGAACCCTAACCTAACCTCAAGCAAGAGACAATGTGACGAACGCAATTTCTAATCGGCCATTGCGAGAGAACATGGTGAGGTTTGTCTGTATAATTAGCTATGGAGTTTAAATTTTGCTTTCATTTCATTTACTGTACCTGTATACAGGTACAGTGGAATGATATTTGCTAGATAACAGTCACCAGGCATATACTGTGTCTGTGAATTACACTAATAAGTGACATAAACAAGGAAATAATGAATTTCAACTTTATCTGAGTCGTCCAAGTTGTGATGACTAAAAAGTGGACCGAATACTCTACTCACAGCTTATCTTACCGTGTAGTGTACAGTACATGTACTTAACATCTCCCTTCTATTTTGTTTCTGTTGGTTATTTTTTTTTTTTACACTAACAGATTGCACAGTTAATTATGTTATAGTATTTCCTGTCCTGACCATTCAAGTTCTATTCATCAATTGGAATTTTATGTATGCTGCACTGTATCTTGTATGAAGTAGTTTGAAAAAAAAAAAAGTAAAAATTTGCTGTCATGATGAGCATATCACTAACACTCTTATGTAATTTAAATATGCTTTACTTGTCATGTTGCAAAATGCAATGCAATGATGGTTATTTTGCCAACTGAAGATCCAGTCCAAGAGATATCTTGAGGGTGGTGGTAGTGCCTACTGCTGTAAAGTTGTAGCCAGACCTTAATTTAGCTCTTATTTAACATCGATTATACAATACTGTACTGTAAAAAAAACGAGTACCGGACTAATTAAGTAACAGCAATGTCGTTACTCAGCCGGAATTCATTATTCGGACATCCATATCAGCAGGGAGGCACAACTGTTCAAAACAACAGCTAGCATATTACACTAACACAGATTGACTTATTTTAGCTCATAATAAATTAGTTCAAGTAAAATTATCATAATTGCGATAGTTTATTTTTTATTTAAAGCCGCAAAGACTTTAAAGGTTCCCGAGCCCTGATGCACCTGTGTATGTGTCATAGATGGCCTTGTGCAATGCGAGATAATATGGATGATCTGGAAGTGTGCAGTATATCCAGAGTTGTAAAGTAACTAAATAAGTGTACTTGAGTACTGTACTCTAATGTTTTTGGGTATTTACTTTTTAAATAGTACTCAAATTTGTTAGTATTTTTACTTAAGTATGGTTTTCTAATACCTGTACTTTTACTCCAATATAATTGAAAAACAAAAATTGTTTTGCACAATAATATATTTTTTAACTAATTAATTATTAACCATATTAAAAGAGTTGTGTGGGTGGAGCCGAGAAGGGTACGGTGTGGGTGTGGGGAGACACCATGCTGTCACATACCTAGAAGTCTTGTGAGGTTACATCAGGTCAGGTCAGGTGGCAGTGACCATGACAGTGGACTTTCCCTTTGTTTTTCTTGTGTCCATTAGCACCTTGACCACCCACCTTACCTTGCCTACCCTATTATTACCCCCTCCACCATTGAATCCCGTCTCTTTTCCTTCACCTTTCCTTCAGGGACTCGGTCTTCCCATTAGATGTCAGTCGCTCTTTTCATATACAGTTGAGTCTGGATTTACGCGTTTTGTCATTTACGCGGTGCCTTGCCAGAATTGAAATGCTTGATTTACGCAGCAAATTTGGTCATTTACGCGGGAAGCGGCGCGGGCAGGGTGCGCACAAGGTTGCCCAGTCATCAAAACATTACCAAGTTCTTCACCCGCCACCCACCACAGCCGGCCCAAGTCAGTGATAGTGAGGATATGGACTTATATGGACTTTGAGGGGTTTGACAAAAAGGCCCTGCAAGCCTCTGTGGTGGATAGTGATACAAGTGATACAGGTGAGGGCCAATAATCTGCCCTCTGCCTCAGAACCAACCCCCCATCCCCGTGTGCCCAGCCATCTTTTCTACTAATGTAAGTGTTAAAAAACCTAATATTATTGATATTTCTCTTAATTATTAATTATGTGTGCATACCATCATAAAATTAAGATGTTATCTTGACTACAAGGTACGTATTGTGTCGGAAAAAGTGGAGTTTGGGGGTTGGCCCAGTCTCTATTTCAATTGATCCCATATGTTCTGTTATTTCATTTATGCGTTTCTCGTTTTACGCGGTACTCCGCGGGTTCAATTGACCGTGTAAATGAAACCCAAATGTACCTGTACCTTACGAATTTCAAAGAGGCTATGATTCTAAAATGTTTTACATAATTCCATCTTAGGGATAAAGCCTGTAGCCATAAATATGTATGAGACTGAGTGTATTTAAAATTCTGCTTAAATTACTAAGCACCACTGCCGCCCCCCAGCACCCGCAAGATGTTACGTGGTGCAAAAAATTCAGCCATTCATCAATTAGAATTGAAAAGTGACGTAACCACAGCCACACCCAATTAGAGGGACAGTTCACGGTGAGTCTTAGTCAGACTCACTCACTAAGGAGGAAACAATTATCCACAAACTCCTCAACTGAAGGATCTTGATAGCTACTTGGCTTGCTCAGGGGAAGGAATGGAGCTACTGTGGTCTATCCTGACATTGTGACTTTTCTCTCAAACTTAACATGCCACTTCTTACAGCTGCTGCTTGTGAGCGTCTGTTTAGTCATATTGGGCTTATAATTTATTATTTAATTAATCTATTACACCCCAGGGGGCAATAAGCCTACTCACAAGACCATGCAGTCAGACACTAATACATTGGTACTTGTGTCTTGCAGGACACTCTATGAATAAGCATTTAGTGACATACTGTATAGTGGTTAATGACTCGTCCTATGGTAGGAGGTCCCTGACAGTGGGACAGTCAAGCCAATAGTGTTGAAGGGTGTTACCATTAGGACAGTTACAGAGTTTACAGGAAAAGAAGTGTGGGTCATCCCCCCACCTCAGATACTTGCCAGATAGGTCTGTATCCTAACCTAATGTGAGCAGAGTCAACTTAAGTCTGCGAACTGTAAGTCCACGTCGACAATACTTGTCTGGATAACAAAGAAAGTGATCATAGTGTTGGCTGGATATATTTTCAGCCCATTCATTATCCCTGCGATGGATTGTAGGGTGAAGAGCGGCTGAACGTATTCTCTTTCAGTAGGTCATGCTGGGCTTATATTTAGGACTAAAATATCCTGATTGGGCAGCCATAATTTCGAGAATCCGTTATTGGTTAATCTCATTAGAAAGATTTGCAAATGATTATGTGTAATGCTGTGTCTTATTTTTGTCTTTAGTTAACTAGTTTTTTATAATTTACTGTGGATATATTTTAATACAGTATTTGAGACAATTAATAATTTTGTTACGTTTTACTTTCAATAATTGAATACTTTATGAATGAGATACTTTTTTTACTTCTACTTCAGTAACATTTTGCCAATGTAGCAATACTGTTACTTAAGTAACAAAGTCCGGTACTTTTTACAACTCTGAGTATGCCATATATACGTGAGTACGGTTCAAATGTTTATGATCAATTTGTTTTTGTTTTCTTTTTGCAAAAATTACTATAGACACAAACATTAGTAATTTTGATGGGTAAAAATTCATGCATTTCCGTGGGTCATTTACGGTGATTGATAGCTGCACATGCTCTTGGTATGCTATCCTTACTCGTGAATTCCTTTATCATGGGCTTGCCTCCCATACCTCTAGATTCATTCTTTTTGTTGCTGCAAGCAGTCAGTGGTTATGCAAATGGCAGTTGTGTTAACATAAGAACATAAGAATGGAGCACACAGCGGGCCTATTGGCCCATACTGAGTAGTCCCATTTACACCCAACCCCTATTGCTCATATATCCATCCAACCTATATTTGAAGCTATCCAGAGTATTCGAGTTAATGATGATGTTTGGTAGCTTGTTCCACTCGTCCACTACTCTATTTCCAAAGCAATGTTTACCTATTTCGCACCAAAATTTAAATTTGTCAAATTTAAAACCATTGTTACGAGTTTGCTCCTGGTTGGATAGTTTGAGTGCCTTTGTAATGTCCCCTTTGTTTAGCCCTGACTTCCATTTATACACCTCTATCATATCGCCCCTCACTCTACTTCTCTCGAGGGAGAGCACTTCCGGAATGAGAGATTTCCGGGAAACAAGATGACTTTTTCAAAGACGGAATAAAATCCCTCATCCCTGGAATTTTCCGGGAAATGGAAAAATATTCTCGGAAGTTCCAGAAATTGCCCATTACACTATCTCTTGAACCTGGAAAAAAATCCCTCATCTTCGGAATTTTCTGGGTAATGGTAAATTTATCTCTGATTTACCAGAAAATGCACCTGATTTTCATCTCTCAAACCCGGAAGAAACTCCCCCAGCCCCGGAATTTTATGGGTACTGGAAATTTTTTTCATAATTTTCCGGAAAATTCCGACTTTGGGAACGATTTTCCGAGAAAATTTCAATTCCGGCTTTCGGAGAGTTCCGTGTTTGACGGATTCCGGCTCACGGAGATATTACTGTAGTTGTTAAATAACATAATAAAGGCAGGATATGTTGTTATGCAGGTGTTCAGTACTGTACTTAGAGTTTTTACTGTACTGTATATGATGTTTTGTTACTCCCTCTCTGCAACACAGCACCAGTATTGATGGTTACTGCTGGATTTTGTTAAAGCTACTTTAGTTAATTTTTATGAATACTAAATACATATTTTGTAAGAGTAAATAGGCATGAATGAAGGAAACTGTGTGTTTGTTTTAATTCTTGTTTCTATCCACTCTACATTAAGTAAGAGTAAGACAAAGAGTAAAACAAAAATATCATTTACTCCTTCTAACAAATATAATTGTACTGGCAGATTAGAACACCTACGGCTGCACGAGAAGCACAAGGGTCATGAGGAGATGCATGCAGAGATGGTCATCATCTTGATGGTGGTCACCATAATAGCACAGATTGGTCTTGTGGCTTGGAAAAAACATCATTACAAATCTTACCAGGTAATAAATAATACATTAGAGGGTAATGTTGTGCCTAGTTTAGAAAACTGTAGTTAACTAAGCAGATGTTCGGTCTGTGTAGCTGTAGCTGAAAAAATTATTGGTCACTGGAAGAAAAGAGAATTTACAGAATATTATTTTTGGCATCCCCATTCAGCTCTTTGGGAATTTCTGTGTGTGATTGGGACTGAACAGTTTAATACTCATTCAATGTTTTAGTTTAATAATGAATTAAATGTAAATAACATGACAAATAATGTACCTTGCAGTTTGTGAGCATGATAGGTGTGTGGGTGATTCCATTTGTCGTATGCCTTCACAACCACTGGTGGCGTTTCATCTTCATCTGGCTGGTGTTCTCCTCCATCACTGTTATTGTGGTGAAGAAGGCCGTCGAGCAGCCGCTTGATCAAACAACACCCAGGTTAGGCATGCTGATGATAGTTTTGACCTGTACTACAGTAGTTTAATTGATTTTACCCATACAGGGATGTGTCTTAGTGATCGGGATGCATTCCTGAAAGATAGAGCGCTAAGTGAGTTGATTGCTGAGCAAATAGAAACGAGGAATAATATCTATGGAGATAGCACGTATTTGTGTAGCCGAGTTGCCAACTGACCGATTCGCCACCCAGTAGCACTAAGAGTGGGTGAGGTTGAGCTGTGTGCTATGTTATTGTTCAACTCGTAATTGTGGGTGGGTATATATACCATCATTTTCTTGTATACTCTGTTACATGCACATACATACGTTCATACAGAATGTGCAAAAAAAAATAAAAAATTAATTATCATAATGTCAAAAACATAAAGAGAATACAGTAAGCAGTTCTTACCTGGTCCATAGTTAGCCGACAAGAGAGGAAGGGGGGGGTGGGGCAAGGAGCAATTACTTTAGTACACAATATCACAATAGTACAGGATTGAACAGTCCGTACAGTACTCACTAGCACACCAAAGTCACAACAATAACAGTGATGCACAGCGATTGTTAATATATAGAGCACTGTAGTAAAGCACAGATCACACTGTTCAACGGCAGGGTAAACACTAGTGTATGAATGGCCTGGGTTGGTAGGTGGGGCGCCGGTAGCATATGTATACAATATGTGGTTTCCAAATAATGAACCTAGATATGTATCCTCCTCTGATTACCCCCCAAAAATTTTGTTTTTTTGTTGGAAAACTGGATAATGATTTTGAAAACCATTTCTAAAATTCAGGTATCTTATATAGCGTCTCCCTTTCCAAGTGGTTTAACGTCTGCCTTGAAAAATTCAGCGTTGCCTCGATCTCTGGGTGGGCCAGGAGACATATCACACTGCAATTAATTTACACCACTTTATTATGATATTTCCACCTTTATTTATAATACCGTACTCATGATTATATAATACTGGATAGGTAAGTGAATAGAAAATTGGAATTCAAACATAATTTTTTATTATTTACTTACATGTGACAATTCTAAATGGAATGTGACTTAGAGAGAGACCTCTGCTGCACAGCAAACATGCTGCAGTGAGTTTCAGACATTACTTACATTAGATAACTTACAATTACATAATTCTACACTTATTTTTACTATTTATTGTACTCAAATATGTAGATATTCACAGAGGCAATTTTTAGGAGTCGGCACTTGACATATGCTATCAGGTGGATGTTGGTGGTAGAGGCAGACAGAACACACACGCACAAAAAAAAAATAAATAAATAAAAACGCCTGCATTTACCTCGCTCCTGCCCGTGCCTCGCCGCTACGCCATCAATCATTCTCTACCTCCTGCCCGCCCCTACCTTTATGCTACCACCCGTCATGCTGGCATCATGCCCACCTACCCATATACACCCACAGCACCCTCCCAGTGGAGATGCCCACTTGAAGCGCAGAATCCCCATTTTTTTACTTCCCTCCTGAATTTTTCCCAGCGAGTTGAAGATTGCTAAACCAAACAATTGCAGATTGTTAAATAACCAAGGGTGTTAGAAATTTTAAATCGCTAAACTGAATTACCACTAGGTGAATGATTGGTAAATGACGATTACCTGTATTTATCATTTTACCACTTAACAGCTTACTAGCCATTTGAGTGGTTGGTGTTCTTTATTATGAACTATATTGTCCAGTATTAGTACAGCAGGAAACCTGCGATATTTTGGTAATGTCACACTCGGTATCACCTTGCCACTTATGACCCTGGTCAAGACTCGAACCCATGATATGGTGGTGAGAGATACTTGCTGTAATGCTGTATTTTGCCTAAACATAAATGCCAATACAAATGCCTTTCTGGAGGCTTACCCTACCCACATATTGAGTGACAATACGGCACTTCAAATATTGTACATGCCAAAGAGATTGGTGTATGGAGAAATGTGAGAAATATTATTATTGTTATTAAAATAATTATGCAGCTTATTAGTGAAATATTGTCTTTGCAAACAAAGGACTTTGGATCTAAGTCATATTGAGAGCAAAAGAGGACTTGGTTCCCTCATTTTGCTCTAACTCATGTACACTTGTTACAATAATGAGTACTCTTTTTGTTGGTTGGTGAAAAGAGTACAGTAACTGCAACCATGTGCTTGTAGCAGATCACATATATTATACTGGTTGGAAAGTTTTTATGTAGGTATTATTATTATCACAGTTTCGCATGAAAGTCCGAGAGTGAATCATGACAAATCGAATTGATTTAAAAAATTTGAACGACTTGAATATTTGGGAAATTGGAATACAGTCAGGTACTGTGGAGAACATGGTACTCTTTCTGACACATTATATGCTTAAGGGGAAGCTAGTGTCTATGCATGGAAGTGAATTCGTGTGAATGTATGAGATGTTAAAGCAATTTCTTATATTTTCCTCTCACCTTAGTAGGCTTAGTGCAAGTGATTTACTACATGTAAATGGGAATGAGTTAAAGTTTGTGGATAGTTTTTTATGTCTTTATTTTAAAATAATTCTTTATCTTATTAGTATTTTACTTTTTCAGACAGGTATATAAGTGGTTCCTTCTAGTGTACAAGATCTGCTGTGGCCTGGGTGTCGTGGGCTACGTCATAATAATGATAACTATGATGGGCTTTCACCTCTTGTTTGGAGTGAAGCCCAACGTGTGGATGGACACTGGTCTTCTTTTTATTTTCTATGGTCTATACTACGGTGTTCTTGGGCGGGATATTGCAGAGGTCTGCGCGGGCAAGATGGCTTCCCATGTTGGGGTTTGTATCTCGAGGTTTATGTAATTGATACATTTTTATTCATCATTACTCTGTGTCAGTAAAGATCATTATTCTCAATTTATGGTGCACTTGTTCCAAGATTTAAGCTATATTTATTGTAGGGTTTTTTTTACTGGGGCTTCTTTTCAGGAATAGAGAAGTTGTGGCTGTAAAATGAAAAGTATTGCTCTTTACTGATAGCTTAAGCCTTTGATTATGATAAAATAACCACTGTTCTCAAATGGATAAGAAAAGTGCAAGCCATATGTAACATTTGTCAGAAGTTGTTACCTTACCTTTAGTGTTAAAGGGAGAGAGTCGTAATATTGTACATAAATTTGATTAGGTAGATTTGGCCCATATGTCCTGCAACCAGAAGCGAGATATGTTTACATAATTTGGAATGGAATTATGCTCTTTCTGTGCTTTGTGGAATTAACCACCATTAATGGTAACTTGGGAAAGGTTTCAGAGTTTTGAACTCACAATTCATTGAGTGTGTTAGTTTGTCAGAGTTAGTTTGCCAGTCTTATTTGAACTTGTGTTTACATCTTAATCTTTCAGAACACTTGAAAAGCCTCAGATGGTAAACACTTTTTAACTATGATGACGTACACTCGCCACAAAGAGTTCTCGAGCAGCTGCGCACGAGAGATTTCAGAATGACTACTATGGCTCGTGTCATCTCAGAATGGTTGGTGTGCCTGGTTGCGAAGTGATTCTCAATATTTTGTAATAATATATGTTGCTCGTCTTTATGGTATTTACAGGTGAAAAGAAGTAATTTAATTTGCAATAAAACTTCCTCGCAGAGCAATGTTCAGATTTCTTATTCGTTTTGTAATACAGTCGGCCCTTAACATACGCGGGGGTTAGGTAACAGATACCCGTGAATGTTAAAAATCCGTGTACTTTTGCTGCCCCCCCCCTAAAAAACCCCTGGCCCCCCATGTCCTTATTTACCGTATATACCTGTGTGTAGTTCGAGTTTTTAAGACCAAATTATTTTGCAAAAAATTGGGGGTCGACCTCTAAAAGGGTAATAGTTTCGTTGGGTTGAAAAATATTTTCCAGTAACTACCAGTAAACAATGGAAACGACACACCAACGCACCACCAGCTGTGAGTGTCGGTACAGTCGCCAGGGCAGTCTCTTGCGTCATCATAGCTAGCCCAAAGTAGCCAAATCCATGGTATGGTATACACAGGACGATGTAAAACAAAGTATTCATTTGTTAAAGTTTATTTATAGATACTGTACATAAATTTTTTTTCATTACATTTGAAACATCAATCTTTGTTAATTAAATTTGATACAAAAGAAAAAACTTGGATGACACTTGGATATATTTTAAAAATTATTTATAATTTCACAAGTATATTTTTACCTTAACTTTAATTAAATTGTAATATATCTTTAGAATTTAAATATGCAAAATGTAATATTTTATTGAAAATGACGCACATATTACTGTACAGTGGAAAGTGGATAAAATTATGAAAAACAATGACTTTCGCTTTCTTTCGTTGTTCAAAGATTTCATCGTAATCGCTTTTAATGGTTTTCAGTTAAAAATCTGTTGTACTGTACTGCACTGTATTAAGTAATAATATTCTATCTCTATCATTAG